ATATTTATTTAAATATCCGAAATATTTATTTAAATATTTAAATATCCTACGTTAACATATTTATTTTAAGAAAAAAATTATTGTAAATATTTTAAATAAATTGTAAAAACGAAAATCATTTTTATATATTAGTAAAAGATTAATTTTTCTTAATTTAGAAGGATAAAATTGAGATTTAAAAATATGAAAGGTTATTGGGACAAACAATCATAAGTAGAAAGTTAATTTACAAAACGCTAATTCAAACTGAGTCAATTTAGCAAATTTCCCATGAATTTATGCATCTTATCTCAAAATCAATTACGGTGAGTTAAAGAAGCTATATTTCTTATCTTATCTCAAAATCATAAAACTGATTGTTTCTAAAAAAACGAAGCAATATTTCTTATATGAATTCATCTATCGATGTAAGATTCTTAATAATATATACATTTATTTTTAACTCAAAAAATTTTGGTTTAATTTTTATAGGCCGTTTTTTTTGTAAGACCAATTTCTTATATACGTACAGGTTCAAAACCATATCAGAGTAATATAACTAAATTTTATTTCTACTTTGTTCAAGTAGATATATTTTAAGTTGGATAGAGTAGAATAGGAGAAACAAATAATAATTATTATTATTTTAATAAAAGCCAGTCACTAAGAGCATGATCAATGGTGGGTTCTTAAACAGTTCTTAAAATAAAAAATTATTAAAATATGAGTAAAATGAAGAAATAGAGTGTTTTTATGGGGTGTATTGAAATATAAAATTTGAGTAAAGAGAGGAGATAGTAGGTGTGYTTAAATATAAAATTAATAAAARTTRAGTAAAAGGAAGAGAGAGTGCTTAAATAAGAACTTTTGGAGAGTGTTTTTAAAATGATGAGAGAGTGTTTAAATATAAAATTAATAAAAATTGAGTAAAATGATGAAAGAGTAAGTAAAAAGTTGAGTAAAAGTAAGAGAGAATGTGTGTTTTAATAATTTTATATTTAAGAATTTGGGTTAAGAACTTGCATTGATTATGCTCTAAATAAAAGGTAAATTTATGGAATAACAAAAAAAATTATAATTTAAAAAATAATAAATTGGGTTGAGAGATAGAGAGAATAGAGAAAGAATAGTGGATTTTTGTTAGTTTTTAGATTAAACTTTTTTTATGTTATTGGTGCTAATTTTTCCTAAATAAATCTTGAGATTTTCTTTTAACAAAAAAAAATAAGAAACAAATGATAACAGTACACTAGAGTGATAACAAACGAACAAGTGTCCAATGCAGGTCTTTTCTATTTGTTTTCGCCGTCCAATTCATGTCTAGATGATGCATATTTTATTATAGTATATATAAAGTAAAGTAATCTTATTATTATTGTTTACTCTAAAAAAAAAAGTAATCTTATTGC